TTACTTTGACATTAGGAAACAAAGACAACACCTCGCCACTGATCTGCGAGCCTTCACTCAGGATATTCTCGGAGGTAAGTAGAGGAAATTGTCACACGGTACATTTACAATATGTATTGTGTTTGACAATAATACTCAACTATATTTATAATTTGCCATCAATTATTGTTAACAGCCTCTCTAAACATTGTCACTCTCACCATTATTATCACTCACTTTCTATCTTGATGGCCATCCAGTTTTTTTTTTTTTTTAAATTAAATAAAACAAAACCGAATTGAATAACATTAAATGAGATTTATTTTTCGGTGGGGGGGGGGTGTCTTAACAATGAAACACATATGCATTGATATTAAAGTTATCACTAGAATTGTGTGACCAACGTAACCGAATCTGCTCCTTCCTCTCAAGGTGGCCATTATGGCTCCTCGCCACTATGCCACACATATCCAAGCAAGTAATTTTGTGGCATGGTGCCTTTAGGCGTGCGAGTGGCCATTAACCGTGATACATTTCGGCTGCGAGCTCCTCGCAATGCAGTGTGGGCGCCTACACAAACGGAAATACAAGCAGCAACCTGTCAAGTGGGTCAATGAAAGCTGTGAGATTTGTTTTTTTAATGTTTTCCTGGTTTTTTTTTTCTTTATGACTGCAATCCTTTACAGCGAGCCACACACAGCGTATCCAATCGTGTGACTCAAACAGGCAGAGTAACATATATTGGCCTCGTGGCCGACAAGTAGCGCTAACGTGAGGTGCCAGGGGGTCTTTTAAAAGCACCTTCGGAGCATGTGATTGTTTTGAATCGTGCACGGCATACACATGATTATTAATAAGATGAAGCGTGCATTGTGGCTGTCATCCATCTTACCTGTTAGCTGCTGCTGTAGACACACACAAGAGTGGAAGAGCGGTAAAGAGATTTTTGGCCCCTGACTATACGCATTGTTCTCACTTATTCTTTATTTATGAATCATTTCCCAAGCAAAAGGGGTCTCAGCGGGCAAACGAGTTGATCAATCACGAGAAAATGTGAGACGGTCTGAACAGAACGAGTCCAGTGCAATTAAAGGATGATGCTGATGAGATGCGGCTAGTTCGACATCTCTAAACGATTCAATCTTCTTACCTTCTTGGTCCGCCTAATAGATAACCTGCTGACTTATCCCACCGCACGTCAAGGTCAATTGTTCTCACCTTGGTAGGGCAGTTTATTTATAGCAGATGGGTCCGCGTGTTTCCAATTTCTGCTGATGAATGCCACCAGGCCTTTCCGATGCCACGATAAAGCTGTTAACCAAAACTGCATTGAGCAGGGACGTACTTTATGGCTCCATTATCCACGTGTTGTGCCTCGCTGGCCGTTAGCATCAGCGGCGTCCTTCATTCCATGCAAAGCAGCTAATAGGGAGAACGCACTGTAATTAATGTATTTGCTCTAGAGATGGCATCGTCCCATGTCAACAGAGGGCTTGTTTGCAGGGGACGCAGATGACAGTGCACAAGTCAAAGAAACAATTCTTTGGATACACAAAATCATTTCTGGAGTGTTTTTTAAACAGAAAACACTGAATATGCGTGTGCTACCGTACGTGTCAGACATTTTCGTTCAGAAATCTCACTTTATTGCACAGGGTCCCGCAAGTACTTTTAACAAAACTTCCTCTCAAAAATAACATTAAGGATTTTCTACAGGACATAATACGGAAAATGGACTTTTTAATTTTTATGGATATAGTTTGGGTCTATAGAGGGCCTGCTGACCAATCAAGTGTGGAATTAAAAAAAAAAAAAAACAAGGAGATGTTTATCGTGCCTGTGTGTTTTGTATTTTGCCTGAACAATTGCGCTAATTTACAGAATACTGCCCCAACATAAAGTTTCTCCTCCCATGACTGAGCAGCGAGACTGGTCGTTGACCTCCCATTTTCACAGAAGCGCGATCCGATCAAAGCCATGAGCCAACAGTATCGTCAGTGTTGGCTTGTGAGGTTAGTTGAGTTGCCAAAAATTGTACTCAAGTAAGAGTACAGCACTGTTACTTTGGAATAATGTGACTCAAGTAAAAGTACAAGGTAGTCCTCTTAATAATTACTTCAGTAAGAGGTAAGTATTCATATATGTATGACAACTCTAATTTTGCCCAATAAAGGTCACTTTAAATCTAGTATTTTTACTACGTTTTAGGTTTCGATTAGAGTTTAGAAGGCTGGGCTAAAGGTCGTGATTGTTGAGGCTGTGATGCAGTGGTGAAGAAGGAAAAAGAAAGACTTAATGGTCATTGCACAACCAAATTGTGTTCAGTACTCCTCAGACGCAAAACAATGGAGACATTTGGACGATATACACGTTATTAAAACAACACCACAGCAATACAAAAGATGTGAGCAGAGTACAAAAGTAGTGTCTGTAGAAAAATGTCGGTCAATAGATAACGAAATAAAAAGACAATGCAGTTAGAGTAGAGCAGCAATGCGGTGCAGTGGCTGAGCCATCTCTTCTGTTTATGGGGCTGTGCTGTAAGGCCTCCATGAGGCACAACCCCTCTGAACACACTCCCCCACTTTTAATGCATTCATTCATCACGCACATAAAGTTTTTTATGGGTTACTCACGAGAAAATTTCTGAAGGTCATATCTGCCAATCTGGGACTTCATATGTGTGACCTGATGGAAAGTACACTAATTACACGGGTGGTGGGTCTCTTCACAAGCCGAGGGTTGGAATGCCTTGAGGCTCCACCCGCCCATTGCGGTGTGCATGAGCGCTTTGGCTTCGGCAGATGGGGCAGGTTTCTGGGCTCCTGGCAGGTTCTCGGTGCTGTGGCGTCTCAGTAACACCTTATCTTTTGTGTCCCGGCACCATCAAGTGTAACCCTAGCATTTTGGGTGACCCCCGAACGCAAATCAGCTGATATATGAAGAAAAATAGCACATGCCTCACATGTCGCGACTAATAACTTTGATATGCAAGCATTTTTTTGTTTGTTTTTTTTTGACAAACAGCAGTTGAACAAGCTCATGCTCAACTTCCGATTTCAAAACTAGTTATCCATCAATATGTTGCATAGGTGTAATAATATGTTGATGCGATGAAACCTGGGCACACGGTGGTCAACTGGTTAGCGCGTCGGCCTCACAGTGCAGAGGTGCAGATTTTGATTCCGACTACGGCCATCCTGTGTGGAGTTTGTATGTTCTCCCCGTGCCTGCGTGGGTTCCGAAAAAAACATGCATGGCGGGTTGATTGGGCACTCATTATTGTCCGTCGGTGTGATTGTGAGCGCAAATAGTGGATCTATGTGTGCCCCGCTATTGGCTGGCAATCGGTTCAGGGTGTTCCCCCAATTACTGCCCGAAGACAGCTGGGGTAGGCTCCAGCAGACGTGTGACCCTTGCAGATCAGAAAATAGATGGATGGATGGATGCAATGAAACCCTTGGTTTCACACTCATAACAGCCCTCTGAGGGAAAGTGTATACCTGCAATGTGATTAGAATGAGGGGAAACACGTCAGTCGTAGCCCAACACTTCAGCAAGCTTTGCGACCCAATCTACAATGCTGGTCGATAAACCTCATTGTGCTCAGCTGAACTCGTTGAGTCGGATCTGATTGGGCCGGATGATCTACAATTGCATTCACCAACTGTGCTTTACCTGCTGAGTTTTCAATTAAGCAAACGCACCATCCTCTTATGATTTTTAAGTGGTGTTCTTGTAGGATGAAATGCAAACCTTGCTTTGAAAAACACCGATGACAGCACCAGTCCACCAGTTTTCTGTACCGCATATCTTCACTCGGGTTGCAGGCGAACTGGAATTTATCTGTAATTTCTGCCATATTTACATAAGTAAGCCAGTGAAAACTTTGCTTCTGTTTGTATCGCTCGAGCCTGTTGCAAGCATTTCTTTTCACCAAATGCCTGATAATGAAGTGCTGCCTCCATGAGTGAAATTACAGTAGATGCTTTGACTGTCTTCAGGGGGCTCGCATGCACTTTGAAGCTGGCACTTGCTTTCTCATTGAAAAAGTTCAACAAGGGATGTGGAGAGAAGAAAGCATCCTCTTGAAATCCTTGAAATGTTTGGAAATACCATTCAGAGTAATAAATATGGGAGTAACTGAGCCGTGCAAAATAATTAATTGCATAACCTCGAAATGGCATATTCGGGATTCTTGTAAAATCAGGCCGCCCTGGAAATGTAAAGAACATAGACGTGCGAAGCTTTTAATTGTAAAATTGCATACATAATGTGAAACATATAGCGCTTGTTATATAATCCATTCATAATTTGCCTCTCCTCCTGATGATTATATTCAATTCATTTTCAAATTCCCTGCTGTAGAACCTCTGACTGGTGGTATCGTTAGTGTGAAATAAGATTGTACATCCACAATAATGGGATGGAAATGTCGGTTGTACATGTTTGTTTGCAGCTTATTTTGCCATATCTGGCCATAAATTAATAATCCAACCATGAAAGCATATCCTGTGTACCCTATCCAGCATTAGAGTGCATATATGTGTGAGCATTAAGGAAATCCATCAAAATGGTGTTAGGAACATCTTTCGGCTCATTGGTCACATGCGCTGTTAATGCGTGATGACGCTTATAAAAATTTATCAAACGAGATGCCTATATACATCCGTGTGTGTCTGCCTGTGTATGTGTGTGTGTGTGTGTGTGTGTGTGTGTGTGTGTGTGTGTGTTGGCATCGTGAGCAGCCTTTCCTAAGAGGGTGATGTAAGATACCATTGCTCATGCAAGCTATCATTGCTTCCTGTTGTCGTTGTTGCTACCATGCATTGGACTACGAGGTTGTGAAAGCCACATGCTCCTGCAAAGTTTCACGTGCGGAGAGGATATCACATGGGAACTGGCGCCATGAATCCCAATGCGTTCCAATGTCAATTTCAATCAAGTAAAATTCCATCTGCGGTGTATAACTCAGAAATGAGATGCGCCCCCACAACAACTAACGGAACAGACCAAAGAAATTCTTGAAATACTTGTCTTTATTGCACGGCATCTCTGAGAGGAAAGAGATGAATCCTCGTGTGTGTATGTTTGTGGAGGTCAAACATCACATTGCAGACACACACGATAGCAGCCCACACAGCTTATCTGTGTGACATTTGAAGACATTAGAAGCATGATATCAAAAGTGATCTGAAAATACGCACACATACACATATCTGATTCACAACTGTGCAAAGTTTGAGACAGGTTTACGATGAGGATACACCGCACTATCAAATACATGGGTGGAGAACCTCCTCCCCAGTGGACCAATTCAATGACAATGAAGTTTGAAAGACGGTCCAACAAATGTTTATTATTTTGTATTTTGAACATTTAGGGGTCAAATGTGATCAACAGTTCCTTTGAGGTTTTATTTCTTCTTGAAAATCACATCGCAGATCGGATGGAGTGCTCTAGCCGGCCGCGTCAGGCCCACGAGTCCAAAATTTCTCACGCCTGATTTAACTTTCCAATAGTGGAGGGACACTCATAATTTAAAATAAAAAATAAGAGACAACTCTTTGGACTCATATGTGCATTACTGGTGGTTGTGGATGTGTTTCTAATATTTGGACTGCATTCCTCGGTGATATGCAATTATTATTTCATATAGAGTGGAAATAGAATTTCCCTTTAAGGGATTAAAAAGGCTAAAATAAATAAATAATACATTTCACATATTTTTAAAAATCAAATAATAAATGTGGAAAAAATAAATTACATTAAATAATATACATATTTTTAATTCAATCTAATAAAAGTGAGCATTGTCTTTGTTAAGGCATATTTTTTTAATACAGATCAATTAGATTGTGCATGTTTTTGGGTCTATTTTTTTAGATAACAAGTCACCCTGCAATGAATGTACATAGATTTTATTTCACGTTTTGTATGATGATTAAATCTATTTTCCCCTGTACGTTACCCCATCAATGTCATATTCAACGCAATAAAGTAATCCGTGGATTCCCCCCCCCCCCACACACACACACACACACACACACGCCATGGCTTTGGACTGCAATTTATGGCATCTGCGTATTCACATTCGTAATAATGAAAAATCATTCAAAAGGATCACCCTCTGCAGCATCTGAAGCGCACAAGTTTGTGGAAAGCTTTCTTGAAGTCCTCATTGGACATGGTGTAAATGATGGGGTTGATGAGCGAGTTCAGGTAGCCTAGCCAGGTGAAGAAGTCAAAGAGCTCGGGGACGACGCAGGCGTCGCATGTCGCCACCACCAGCGTGTAGATGAAGAAAGGCAGCCAGCACACGATGTACGCGCCCAGAATGATGCCGAGCGTCTTGGTGGCCTTCCTCTCTCTAGCCGCCGAGATGCGCTTTTTCTCCAGAGCCGCGTCCGACAGAGTCACCTTCACCTGGTTATCGCTGGTGGACGAGTTGGTGTCGCTGGACGGCGCGTCGTGCCTGCCGCCCTGCAAGGGGCTGGTGGAGGCGTTGGAGCCCGGGGAGCCCGTTACCAAGTACGCCGAGGTCAGCCTCTTGCCCGCCGCCTTTTTCTTTTTCTTGGGGGATTGCTTGAGGATGCGTTTGCGCGCCTCCACGTAAATGCGCCCGTAGAGGACGATGAGCAGCAGGGTGGGGACGTAAAAGGCGCCGAAAGTGGAGTAAATAGTGTAGAAGATGTGGTCCGTGTTGACGCTGCAGCTCGTCAACTCGTCCGCTTTGACTTGCCTCCAGAAGAGCGGCGGCAGCGAGATGGAGATGGCGATCACCCAGGCGGTGGCCACCATGCCGGCCGCGCGCCCCGGCGTGCGCTTTTTGGAGTACTCCACCGCATCCGTGATGGCCCAGTAACGGTCCAGGGCGATGACGCACAGGTGGAGGATGGACGCCGTGCAGCAGGTGATGTCCGACGACAGCCACACGTCGCACACCACCTGGCCTAGTGTCCACTCGTGGATGACCGTGTAGAGGACGCACACGGGCATGACAAGGATGGACACCAGCAGGTCGGTGACGGCCAACGAGGCGATGAGGAAGTTGGCGGGCGTCTGGAGCTTCTTGGACTGGGAAATGGTGGCGATGACGAAGGCGTTGGACAGGCTGGTGGCCAGCGTGATGGCGGAAAGGAGCGACGCCAGGCTGATCTGATAGGCGAGACTGTGCGCGCTCCACTCCGCCTCGGACGCATCCTCTGGCTGGCTGATGTTGGAGGTGTTCACCGGCAGCTGGGTGGGCTCCACTTGACCGACGCCCTCCATCACTTCTCGAGTCACTCTTGGCTCATATTCTGTCCATCGTCTCACACTTCAGGGGTTAAATGCGAAGAAAGTCGCCTCCGTAACGCCATGGCACGAATGATTCTTTTCACTTGTAATCCACTCCTCGCGGGGAAATAAGTTGACCACTCTTCATCGTGACAATGCACAGTGATGATGTGCTGCCGTTCCAACGCGTGAGGGACATAATCCGCATGGAAGGTGAAAAGTTTTCCAGACGCGCTGCTCCTTGGCCCCTTGCAGAGGGTGACTGACGAGCTGAGTCTCAAAGTGCAGCTTTTTATACAGTCTGTGACATCAACTGATGTCTCCATGAAGGGCCAGACTGTTTGCTGGGTCATAGTGCCCGTGGATCCTCTGTCATTGATGCCCATCACACGGATAAGGTATACGCACATTTTACTAAAAACTTTAGTAGTCTTATAATGCATTATGAATTAGTACAAACCATTAAAATGTTTATCATGGATGACAAAAAAAATAGCCTTTTTGAGATAGTTTAATTGGGTTTACAGCATCGGTGTCAAACATACGGCCCGCGGGCCGGATCCGGCCCGCAAAGGAGTTTAATCCGGCCCGCGAGATGATAATGTAAAGCATCGGTGTCAAACATACGGCCCGCGGGCCGGAACCGGCCCGCAAGTAGGTTCAATCAGGCCCGCAGGATAATGTAAAAGTGAAAAAAATGCATTAAAGACACAGAATTAATATTTTTAATCAGGTGCAATTCATTGAGTATCCGCAAGGGGACACTGTTTTGATCAGAGAAGAAGACAACAGCAGCCTCAGTCTGTCACTGAGACAGACCCATGACAGCAGACGCTATCAATAGCACTCTCACATTTACACATTTAATAGCACTCTCCTTAGTTTGTAAGGTGTAGGCAGGGATTACATTTAGATTTTATATGCACGTGTAAATGCTTTAAAACTTGCTTTCTTTATGAATCTTGTTTAATCTTAAAGTGCATTACTATATTTTTCAATACCAATTACTTGTTAAAGTTTGTACAATCAGTGGGATCAGTTGCAATGCATATATGTGAATGATAAAAGTAAATTGCACATTTGTCGAAGGAAATGTAAGGTGCTTCATGAAATGTTTTGTAAAAGATATGTTCATTAAATTTCAATATTTTCCTAATGTTCTTGTGCTTCTTTATACCAAAACAAAGGAAAGACATATTGTTTTGGTTATTTATAGCAAAGTATTGTATCATTTTAATGGTCCGGCCCACTTGACATCTACCGAGGCCGTATGTGGCCCACCATGTGAAATGAGTTTGACACCCCTAGTTTACAGTCTGCAGTGTTGGGGTTGTTGTTTTTTGCATGTTGGAGAATAACTGAATAAATGTCTGCTTCAATGTCTGATGTCCATGCAAAAGTCTTTGTTTTTGAATAACATCAAGATGACTAAGCTAGAAGAGCTCAAGGGTCATCGCTGTGATTTTTGACTCTGTCCTCACACCATCGGATGGATGGATGGATGGATTGACTGATTTAATGGTTGAGTCACTGAGTGTTTGATATTTGCACATATGATTGCAATGCAATGGTTGGTTGGTTGGTTGGTTGGTTGGTTGGATGGCTGGTTGTTCGGACAGATTTATTGCTGTTGGTCATTTGGGTGGGTGCATGGGTGACTCGGTGGTTGGTTGAGTAGAGTGGTGGCTGGGAGGATGTTTGGATGTTCGGATGCCTAAGTGGGTGGGTGTTTGAATAGGTGTTTGGTTATGCATAATTTGTTGGTGAGTGAGTTAGTTAGTTGGTTGGTTGGTTGATTGGCCAGATGGTTTTTTTTTTGTCACTTCGCATGTGTGTACGGATAGAACAGCATTTTGTTTGTTTGTTTGTTTTTTAAGTGAGTGAGACAGTGCTGTGGACAGATGGATGCTTGGTTACAGGTGGATGGTTGTCCATCCTGTTGAGTGATTTGGGTAGGCTGGTGGGGAGATTAATAGTCAGTCAACAGTTGGATGTATTGATGGTTTGATAAGCGGGCTGACGGTTGGTTGGGTGGGTCAGTGGTTGAACGGGTATTTGATAAGGGAACGGGTGGATAAAGTGATTGGTCCGCCGGTTTGTCAATGGGTCTGGTTCAATAATTGGTTGAACGGGTGGAAGTGAGGATTGACAGCTCTGCCGGGCTCTAATGTCAAGAAAAAAAGTTCCAAGTAGGTCTCCATGTTGGGCTGCAAGAAAATAAGAACCTCAATTATTGAACTGTGAAAGCGGTTCACCAAATGCATGTTTTTAAAGTGCCTTTTTGGGGAGAAAGCACTCATGTGGCAAATGATAGGCTCAGATGGATCACACATACAGGACACTGGATAGTACAAACAAAACACAAAATTAGGTATACCTGCACAAGAGCTGAATAAGAAAATGGCTGCCTTCACCTTGATTGACACCTCAACGTTTATTATTGTTGTTGTTATTGTTAGCCTTGCATTAACTATGATTTTTTTTAGGGTATTGGCGCTCGGTGTAAAAACTGGCACATCTTAATTTTCAAGCCTAGTTTATCCTGTTTGAGTATTTGGCAGACCTCGTCGCTGAGCGTTCTAGTGGATGAGGATGTTTTCTATTAAAATGCGATTGGCTGGCAACCAGTTCAGAGTGTACCCCGCCTACAGTCCGAAGACGGCTGGGATAGACTCCAGCATGCCTGCGGCTCAGAGAATGGATGGATGGGTAGATTATTTAAAAGAAGGGATAGTGCATATAAATTAACAAATTAACATTCACATGCAAATCTGCCCAAACGTATTTTTTATATAATGAGTGATACACAATTGTAACTCTTTCATGATATTCCTTTCTTACACTTTTGTCATTGTTGTCATTGTCTGCTTTGTGACTTGAATGAGGATGATCGTATGATTCTACACAAGGCCTCAAGTTACCATATATGGTCCTTTGTCTTACAGAAGGCCATTACAAAGGCACGGTGAAAAGTCAGAGCTGCCATCAGCAGACAGATGGCCCATTGGCTGAGAATGAAATATATGGTAATGGAAGTGTGTTGGAAATAGGTGCTCGTGTAGAATGATGACAAGAGAAGAGCGCAATGTTTGCATGTCAATGGGAAGATAAGAGTCTCAGAGAGAAACAGGGAAAGCTGAAGACTTGGTCACAACGGATGATTTGCATTGAGCACCTACGAATGAGCTGCCTTGTGCATTATTATGTTGCGAAACAGTCCGTGCACCCTCCTGTGAGTTCATGATTGTCGTCCTCGACCTGCCGTGGATGTGACACCTGATGCAGAGGCACACACACGATTACGCCATCCACTTTCTCTGTTTTCACACCTTCATTCCGACGCCCAAAAACATGCTGTGTCCCATTGTGTCATGCCTACTTGCCTGCGCCATCATTTTGCTCTAATTCCATTTTTTTTTCTCCATGAAAAAACGTTGATTTATATAAAATGCTACATTCAAACAAAAGCTCTCAGTGTGACACTTCATTTGCATTTAAAGATGCCTTTATAACATGCTTTTTTTTAATGTTCCTATTCATTGGGTGTGACCCAGTTCAGCAGCAGCAGCAGCAGCAGCAGCATTTTCTCAGACACCGCACGCCCCTGTGTGTAATCTCACCTCATCTCTGGGCGTATTTGGGCAAAGCACAGTCGCAGATTACATATCCTATCTATCCTATCTCCTGCTGACTCTGAAAAGCCTATTTTCAGTCCTGTAAACCTCCAGAAGACTTTGAGATTTTTCTGAGCAATATTACCTTCCAGTTACCAATCTCTGACTTCTGTCCCGCAGTTCAGTTTGACATATGGACAAAAGTATTGGGACACAAGGCCCTAATGATTTACAGGAAGGGAAAATGGTAGAAAAATGATCCAGTCTTCCATTTGCAGCTATATAAAGAATTATAACATCCGGTGTAAAACGTGGTATTTTAGTTTACATATTTAGCGACAAGAAAAGGGCAAAATGGGTTCAGTTCCCACTCAGTGATGGTGGGAATTGCGAGTGCAAATGGTCATCCGTCATTATATGATCCCTGAGATTGACCGGCAACCAGATCAGGGAGGAGTCTCCCTTTTGGCATGAAGTCACCTGAGATATGCCAGCTCAAGCGTGACTCTGAAGAAGATCAGAGATATTAGAAAACGGGTGGATGGATGGATGAAAACAGAAACAATCAAAACGTGTTGGATTGTGCAGGTTTACCCAATGGACTTTCCCATGCCTGCCTATCCAATCATTAACCTTCATACACAGTGTAAATAGTATCACGATAGCATTCATCCGGAGAGATCTTTCCTACCACCTGTCATATTTTTGTTGGTTAGTCCAGATGTTTATTCTTAAAGTCCTGCGCTGGCTGTTTTAAGAGCATCATTCACATTCTGCGCAGCTGCACATTGCATCTGCTATAAAGTGAACCTGATGAACCAAAAATAAGTGGCGAGCTGATTCAGGTTCACATCAGAGTGAGTCACAAATATAGCTTTTAAAGTGAGATTTGACAAGAGAGAGAGGGAATCTTGACACATCACGATTCCATTCGATTACGATTCAGAGGGCTACAACGCGTGAGCGACGGTTCACACCGCTTCCTTGACTGTGGGGCTAAACTCAACTATGGCTTTTGCTACAATGACAACTGGGACAGAGAATGAAGCAAGTGTCTTTTCCTTACAGTTGCGGAGGCCAGAGCGGGGGACAAAAGCATTTTGGAGTCCACTTCACATACGACATTTACATTTTTTTTTTCAATTAGTGTGTAGATTTGTGTAAATTGCGCTCATAGCCTCCTCTCCACTTAGCCGTCTGTTGTTCCTTGAAACCTTACACTGGCTTATATTTTCATGATACACTGTTAGAAAACAAATAACATGCTAAACCATTGTGATTTGTGGTGTTGGTAAAATTCTACGATGACTCACCCAGAGAGACGTTTTCAGAAATAGGCAGCCCAGAAGATTTACTTGGTTGTTTCATTTCGCACGTGACCGGTGGGGTGCCACTTAAGAGACACAACTATTTGAAAACAGTGAAAGCAGCTTAAAAAAAATCATTTGCATAGCAAGAAAAAGTACAAAGTAATAGAAGGGCAGCACAAATGATTCATGTCCCTTGCAGTCATAATCAATCACTGAAATTTATGAATGGAGTCAGAATCATTATTTGACATTTGTTCAAATTTGAGACAATAACACGTGCTTCATTTTCATTGGTCAGCTTTGAGTTGTCTTGTAATCTTCTGTTTTGTTTCCAAAGGAAAGCACTGGTGACTGGGTACCAAATAGGACAAATCCAAAATGAGGGCAGATCCCCTGGTTGTCACATGTCTCCCTCTCCACCTACCCAAAACTCACCACCGCAGGAAACATTTTCCCCTCGTCCAAGCGGTAATGAGAGCACACGGGGGAGGTGACCACGTTTGGCT